TTGCCGCTGAGCTAAATCCCCAGCCCCAATCTTACATTCTTATGTCTAGTGGACTGAACAACTTTGTTGAAGATAACAGTATGTAATATAGCAACCACTGTAAATGTCAATCATTTTGTTTTGAGGTCATGTGTCATTTTTGTTGTTTTTGTGTTGTTTTGATTTTGTCTTCATTGTTGTTATATCAATTTTTTAATTTTTCAAAGAAAAGAAATGTGTTGGCAAGCATAAGGAGGAAAGCGAATGCTTTGCATAGTGTTGGTGAGAATAAAAATTGGGATACCCAGTATGGAAATCAGTATGGGGGTTTCTCAAAAATAGAACTACTGTATGATCTAGCAATCCTACTCTTAGATATATATCTAAAAGATATGAATTCAGTATGTGAAAGATGATTTGTGTTCCTATAATCATTGTAGCATTATTTACAGTAGCTAAGATAATGGAATCAACCTATATGCCGGTCAGTGGATAAATGGATAAACAAAATAGTATTTGTACACATTATAAATACTATTGAACCTTAAAAGAAGGAAACCATGTCATTTCCAGCAGCATGATTGAATGAACTTGGAGGACATTATATATTAAGTAAAATAAGCCAGGCACAGGAATACATCACAATCTCCCTTATATATGGAATCTTCAAAAGTCTGGTGGATACCAAAGACTGGAAGATGAGGGGATCAGGACACACAGTTTTGATTAGATAGAAATGAGTTCAAGCTAAGCATAGTGGCTCGTGCCTGTAATCGCAGTATTTGGGAGGCTGAGGCAAGAGGATTAATGTGAGTTTGAGGCCAGCCTGGGCTACATAGTGAACTCAAGACCAGCCTGTACTACCCAGCGAGACCCTGTCTCGAAACAACAATAACACAAATCAATTGAAGACATTTATTGTAGATCAGTGGTGAGTATAGTTATTAAGCATCTTTTATACACCTAAAGGGTACTAAGGAGGTAGGAAGGAGGTGTTTTCGTCATGAAAAAGAAGTATATGAAGAAAGCTGTATACTACACAGCTGCACTTGGCTGTTTCACAGTGTACGGATATATTAAACATCATGTTGTATACCATAAATATATGCAACTTGTCAATTAGAGATAAATAAAAGTACATATATATATTTGTGGTGGCAGCATGAAAACATTAAAAAAAGTTATTAAATAAAAGTGTGCATTCAGGGTTAATATATGGAGCCACTTATGGTGTGCTCGTTTGTCATCCCTGCTGTTAGGGAGGCTGTGATGAGATCTCAAATAGAAGGCCAGTCAGGGCAGTGTGTTGAGACCTGATATCAAGCAAAGAAAAAAAAGTTTAATGCAGACAATGTCTATAATTCTTTATTTCATTCTTCAGTTACAACTAGAGGAAATAATAATTTGATTCCTTGGATCACACCAGTATATGTACTTTGAGTAAACACAATAAGTATTAACATTTACATGTTTTTAATGTAGTAAATGAGCTTGTTTTTTGTTAAAATATCTAATTGAAGTTGGATTGACATAATGCTACATTCAGGAATAATGTATATCTAAATTGTCTTTATGCTGTTTTAACACCATTTATAAGAGGCCGATTTACAGAGATGAGGAGGAGGAGGAGGAGAAGGATGGGAAAAAAGTGATTTTAAAATAATTTCAGCATGCTCAGGTTATTCTTTTTGTAAAACTCTTACCCAAAAAGGAAAAAAAATTGTTTGTTGTATTTTCAGAATTTAGTTTTAAAACTTCAGTGATTTCCAGTTACACAATGTATCCTGTAAGTTTATAGTTAAATTTAAACCATTTTGGTGAGCTAAATAGAGTCTAGATCAAAACGAAACAGACTTGGGAAATTAACAGAATTTAAAACTTAGTGACTGTCCAGTAAATTGTAAATGTAAGATTAACCACAGGGGCGTTTGGTGGTTGTACCTGTAATCTCAGCTGGATGAGGACTGAAAGTTTAGTGTCAGCCTGGGTAACTTAGTGAGATCTGCCTCAAAGTTTAGAAAAAGGTCTGGGGAATGTAGCTTAATGGTGGAATGTTTGTCAAGCATCTGCGAAGCCCTAGGTTTAGTTCTCACTACATTAAAAAAAAAAAAAAAATCTAATGGTATTCTAACCAAAACAAAAGCTAGAAATAAATACTGAGGCTTTGTTACCTTTTACTATGGGATTATTTACTGTGCCTCATTTAGAAGAGTATGTTCTACTACTACACAGTAAAGGTATTCACTGTGTGAATACATGTATGTTGAAACAGGATTTCAGATATACCTAAAATAGACCTAGATATGCTCTCCAATACTTCCATCCATTTCCCTTCTTGAAATCTGGAATTTCAGAATAAATTTTAGGTATCGTGTTTCATTTTTAAATCCATTTTTTAAAAGATGGGATGCTATGTTACATGGACTAGCCTTGAACTCCTGGACTCAAGTGATCTTTCTTCCTCTGCCTATCTTAGTATTTTGACATCATCAAAATATTTAAAAAGGCTGCTATTATAAGGTTTTTTAAAATAAATGTTTTGCGGGCTGGGGATTTAGCTCAGCGGCACAGCCTGGCAAGCGCAAGGTTGCAAGTTCAATTCCCAGTACCAGGGGGAAAAAAAAAAAACCACCAAATAAATAAATAAATAAATAAATAAATGTTTTTTGGCTCAGTATAAAGCAGTTACAGAAGCAGACACCAAGTTTTGTTATTTTTTTAAATTAATGCTAAAATCTACTTACAAAATGCTTTCACTTAAGTTTAGCATTAGTTCTTTATTTTCAAGAAAATGACCACTATTCTTCCTCAGTCTGGCTTTTGATTTTTGAAAGTTTGGCAGAGGATATGGTTCATATTTCTCATTTGAGTCAGGCAGTAACCCTGTGTGACTTCAGGGTAGTACCTAAATTTTTAAAAGTAACCTAAGATTGATTGAGTGCAATGTAGCTAATTAATGTAGTTAATTTCTCATGAAACTAGAACTGGAACTCTATTGTCTCTTCAGGCTAAATTCTGTATATTAAAAATTCTTCATTTTTGTTTACTTAAAGTTGTATCTACTTATATAATTATTGTTATATAATAAAGTTGAAGTGTGGATTAACACTAACACTCAAATATTTTAAATAGTAAATGGTTTCCCAGTGGCACATTTTCAATATTACAGCACCACAGAAATCCTTGGGCCATGAGGTAAATGAGCTGACATCAAGTAGATTGTTGAAGCTGGAGATGGAGAACCAGAGTTTGACAAAAACTGTAGAAGAGCTTCGGAGCACGGTGGGTTCTGCAGAAGGCAGTGCTTCCAAAGTCCTAAAACTTGAGAAAGAAAATCAACGGCTAAGTAAAAAGGTAAACATGTCATGTTTCCTCTTATCAATAGGTATATGAAAATAATTAGCACATTTACTCTATTCATGTGTACTTGAAATTTTCCATAAGTTGATACAATATTAAAGATACATTAAGAGGGGAAATTAATGTGCCTTTAACACATGAGATTATGGGGAACATTCCAGATCCAAATTGTAACATTTTTTCTTGATGTTTTAAATTACCTAATGTGGGGGTAACCCACTCAGGCCCCCCTTTTGTCCCTCTCTTGGACAGAAGCTTTCTTTTCTTTCCCTCTATAAATATATTCTGCTCTTAACCTCTGTTACTAAAATTCGTTCTTCGGTTTTAGAGACTACGATTACCTATAATTGATAATCTAAGGGCACAAGGCTTAATTGAGCCCTGTAAGAGCCCGTGCAACACTCCTATCTTGGGAATTCAAAAACGCAATGGGGAATGGAGATTAGTACAGGACCTCAGATTGATAAATGAGGCAGTAGTGCCAATACACATAACTTGGACCCACCTCACCTCGTGGTTTTGCTCTATAAAAGTCCCTAGAAAAGACAGAGTCTTGGGTAACCCACTCGGGCCCCGCTCTGTCCCTCCCTTGGACAGAAGCTTTGTTTTCTTTCCCTCAATAAATACATTCTGCTCTTAAAAAAATAAATAAAAATAAAAAATAAATTGCCTAATGTAAATATGATATATAGTAATATCATCAGTGGTTAGGAATGGTTTTAGTTTGTAATTGCTAGTGCATACTTACTAACTGCTAACATTACATCTTTAAAATGCATGAAAATAAATTTACATTTAAAATAGAAGTGTTTGCTGCAGTTTTGTTCATTTTTCTGTAGTCTTATTCTTCCTTTTTCCTTATTTTAAACCAAGTCCCTTCTTGCTGCCTCCTTGAACTTATACCACAGTTTCTAATCTTTTCCTTCATGCTTTTCATATTCTCTTTCTCCCTCTTGTTCACTAAAATTCCATGATTATAATTTAAATTTTACATTATAGATCTACTTACTCTAAAAGAATCTTTCAGTAAGATTTGTGCAGTACTCATATAGCATATCATTAGCATATTTATTCATTAGATTTGTGTTTAGAAATAGAAATTTGCCTTAAAACATGCAGAGAATAAGAAAGTCAGGTCTGCATATACTAAACTGTTACATTTTACCATTTGCCTTCTATCCTTTATTTAGTGATTATCTTTTGTTTTAGCATGTTTCCTGTGTTGTAAAATATTTAATATGTTGTTTTGTGATTTTATTTTCTCTAGGTTGAAATTCTTGGAAATGAAATTATTCAAGAAAAGCAAAGTCTTCAGAACTGTCAGAATTTAAGCAAGGATCTAATGAAGGAAAAAGCACAGCTTGAAAAAACAATTGAAACACTTAGAGAAAATTCAGAGAGACAGGTTTATAAATTTCTTACTTAAGCAAAGAACATACTTTAAACTTAATTAACAAAAGTTATCTAAAGTATATGTAAACAATATTCATATAATGTTAAAAGAAAATATCTTAGAATTCTTTAGAATTTAAAGTAAATACAATAGTTCCCCATAGTATCTGCAGCTTTGCTTTCTGCAATTCCAGTTACATAGTCACAGCCCCAAAATTTTTAATGGATAATTCCAGAAATGAACAGTTTGTAAGTTTTAAATTGTGTTCCAATTGGTATGGTGATATTTCTACTCCATCCTGCTTGGGATGTGAATCATCCTTTTCAGAATATTCATGCTGTATATACTACTTTCCTGTCATTGACTATTCTTATCAACTGTCATAGTGCATACTCTCAAGTTATCTTTATTTTACTTAATAATGGCCCCAAATTTTAAGAATAGTGATGTTGACAATTCAGGTATCTCAAAGAAAAGCCATTAAGTGCTTCTTTCAAGTGAAAAGGTGAAAGTTCTTGACTGAATAAGAAAAAATATGCTAAGGTTACTAAAGTTTACAATAAACTATTGTTAATCACCTGCTGTACCTAATTTATAAATTAAACTTCATTGTAGGTGTATAGGGGAAAAAACAGGAATATATTCATGTTTCAATACAATTCAGTGTTAGACATCCACTGGGGATCTTGGGATTTATTCTCATGGATTAAGGAGGAGCTGCTGTATAATTGTACCTCTTTAGGGGGCGGCACTTGGAATCAAACTCAGGACCTAGCACTTGACAGGCAGGCGCTGTGCCGCTGAGCTGTATCCCCAGCTGTACCTCATTTTCTATCCAGTATATTTTAGAAAAGATGGTGACATCTTAGAAAGTTGTAACTTGCCAGTATGTTTAATAATAACCTAGGATAAAATTCCTCAGTAACTGTGCTTTTAAGAAGTATCTGTGGAACAGGATTACAGGTTTTATTTTATATTACTTTTTGAGACAGGGTCTCCCTATGCTGTTCAGGCTGGCCTTGAACTCACTTTGCAGCCCAGGCTGGTCTTGAACTCGCAAGGATCCTCCTGCCTCAGCCTCCTGAGTGCTGGGATTACAGGCATGCACCACCACACCCGGTGAATTGCAGGTTTTAAATCCTTCCTGAATGGAATTGGAGAGAACTGAGGTTGTATCCTATGAAAGAGCGAGAAGTTTGGTGGCAACAGATGCTACAAACTGAATGAATTTATTATCAAATGTGCCACAAAAAAGTACTACATGATTTTATTATTCCTGATTAGCATTCCTTTTTAGGAATAAATATACTTACATACACACATATGCACATATTTAATGAGAATTTATTTGTATAGCTATTACAGAAACTTTTAGCCCAGTCTGATGACATTTACTGTTTCAGCACTTGGGAGGCTGAGGCAGGAGGATCATTAAAGTCAAGGGCAGCCTGGGCTACATAGGGAGACCCTGTCTCATAAGAAAAAAAATTATTTGGTGAAAATATAACCTTATGTCTTCAAGGAGTTATATGTATGTATTTGATCTGTATATATGAATATAAAACATGTTAACTATAAATCTGAAGGTCATTTTGATCAGTGGTAAATACATGTCTCTTAAACATTATTTTATTTTTTATTTTAAAGAGTAAAAGAAAGATGACATAGCAATAGGCGGATTCACCGAGTTACAGACAAAAGTGGTAGGACATTATCTGTGGTTGTTAATTTTACCTACTGGTATCTTCAAGATATTCTTAGGAAAACAAATAGACAAATAATAGTGAGTTATAGACAAAAATGGCAGGAAACTATCAATGGTTGTTGTCAAACATTCCTTTAAATTGTGAACTCCGGCCAAGTGTGGTGGTGCACACCTGTAATCCCAGCAGTGGGGAGGCCGAGGCAGGAGGATCACTGTGAGTTTGAGGCCAGTATTGGCTACAAAGTGAATTCAAGGACAGCCTGAACTGCATAGTGGATCCCAGTCTCAAAAATATAAAAGAAAAAAAAAATTGTGAACTCCCTAAAGACATACACTTTAATGAGCCAACAGTACATATATACAGTGGTCCTTCCGTTAATACTTGTTAGAATTGAAAGTAATACATACATTCTAGCACTCTTTTAATGTTCTTTGCCTATTCATTTTGGGAAGATAAAAATATGTAACTTGAAATATTTAGACTTGCTCATCTAGTTTAAATTTTTCTCCTTTATTTTTTAAATTAGATTAAAATATTGGAACAAGAAAATGAACATCTGAATCAAACAGTGTCTTCCTTGAGACAGCGCTCCCAAATAAGTGCTGAGGCAAGGGTGAAAGACATTGAAAAAGAAAACAAAATTCTACATGAATCAATCAAAGAAACAAGTAGCAAGCTAAGCAAGATTGAATTTGAAAAAAGACAAATTAGAAAAGAATTGGAGCATTATAAAGAAAAGGGAGAACGAGCAGAAGAACTTGAAAATGAGTTGCATCATCTTGAAAAAGAAAATGAATTACTACAGAAAAAAATAACCAATTTAAAAATTACTTGTGAAAAAATAGAGGCCCTAGAACAAGAAAATTCAGAGCTAGAAAGAGAAAACAGAAAATTGAAAAAAACGCTGGATAGCTTTAAAAACCTTACTTTTCAGTTAGAATCACTAGAAAAAGAGAATTCCCAACTGGATGAGGAAAACTTAGAATTGCGAAGGAGTGTGGAATCATTGAAGTGTGCAAGCATGAAAATGGCTCAGCTACAACTAGAAAACAAAGAACTAGAAAGTGAAAAAGAACAGCTTAAAAAGGGTCTGGAGCTCATGAAAGCATCTTTCAAGAAAACAGAGCGCTTGGAAGTTAGCTACCAGGGATTAGATACAGAAAATCAAAGGCTACAGAAAGCTCTGGAAAATAGCAATAAAAAAATTCAGCAATTAGAGAGTGAACTACAAGACTTAGAGATGGAAAATCAAACATTGCAAAAAAACCTAGAAGAATTGAAAATATCTAGCAAAAGACTAGAACAGTTGGAAAAAGAAAATAAATCATTGGAGCAAGAGACATCACAGTTAGAAAAGGATAAGAAACAGTTGGAAAAGGAAAATAAGAGACTTCGACAACAAGCAGAAATAAAAGATACCACATTAGAAGAGAATAATGTGAAGATTGGGAACTTGGAAAAAGAAAACAAAACCTTATTCAAGGAAATTGGTATATATAAAGAATCTTGTGTTCGTCTGAAAGAATTAGAGAAAGAAAATAAAGAACTTGTGAAAAGAGCAACTATTGATGTAAAAACTTTGGTTACATTACGTGAGGTAAATATATTTACTGAAATTTAAGACACATCCTATTTATATTTTGACTCAAGATTTGTTTTATCGGAACCATCGGTAAAAAGAACTTTGAAGTTTGCTATTTTTCTTACTCTAAAAATTGTATTTTATAAGACTTGTAGTAACAAGTAGTATAGTTGTAAGTAGTAAGACTTTATAAAATAAAAAATATGTAGTAATAAGGTTTCTTTGGGGTAGCTGATTGGTACATTACATTAGGATTTTGAACTTTCATTTTGAAATACAATATTTGAGGCACTTTTATTGAATGCTAAATATAACAGAAGTCTTAATCGCTGCTGTTTATTGAGTGCTGTGTGTCAAGTGCTTTGCTAAGGAATTGCATAGAAGTTGAACTTACAGATATTTATATACTTTCTGCAACCAGTCATTTTTGGTATTATCTCCATTTTTTTCATATTAGGAAACACTGTCAAAATCATTAATTGAGGGTTACTTGGCAAATAAACAGTGGGGTTGAATTTCTGGATTCAAATCCAGATCTTTCAGATTCTAGGCCCTCATGAATTTTAAGAAGTGAGAGAATGCAAATTAGTTTCAATGTAAAGGTCAATACGGAACAACTGATACTTACATGGATCCATATATTAAGAATAATTCTGAGCTTGGTGTGGCCCCTATCTGTAATCGCAGCAGAAGGGTCTCTGAGAATTCTAAGCCAGCCTGGGCTACAAATGAGTTTAAAGCCAGCCTTAAAGTGAGACCCTGCCTCAAAAAAAAATTCTGAAATTTATGAGAGTAAATTGACAATATGTCTTGTAAAGCATGGTTGGTGCAGATAAGATAGCATGTTTTGCTTTTTTTCTTTTTGATAATGCACTGCAACATTTGATAACCCTTTAAATTCAGTGAAAAAGTATCATCATTCTGGTTGAAAGTCACTTTGGCAGTTTGGATTTCTCCTAGAAAGGCATTGAGGGGACTTTTCTGTTTTGTTTTTTTTCTGTAGTCTTACAGACATGAACAAGTTCCTTGTGCCTAACTTCTAAGAACGTGTAGTTCTTGAAATCAGTATTTTAGCTTTTCCACCTGGAGAAAGGGACTTCTGACAAGGAGTATTGTATCCAGTGTACTTTCATAATAAGAGATTTGTATTAAAGTTTCTGCCCACTACTAAAGACTTGATGGAAATGTGGGTTTTTATTTTCTCTAAAGTCTCCAAACCTAACATGGATATTCACAAGTTTCTCCCCTTTAATTTTAACATTAGAGTTAAAAAGTATTAGCATAAGAAAGAAGTAATTGTTTCACTTGTGCTATAACTTCTTTGCTTAATTACTTTATAATGATAATAGAAGGATTCATTGACAACATTTGTATCACTCTTGGTTCAAATTATATATCTTCCTGGATGATAGCAAGTAGAATCTTGGCTTTCTTAGGCTTTTATGTTCTTGTCACTTAAGTGAGTTGTGCGTTCCTTTTAAAATAAGGATCTGGTGAGTGAAAAATTGAAGACTCAACAAATGAACAATGATCTTGAAAAATTAACTCATGAGCTTGAGAAGATAGGGTTAAATAAAGAGAGACTCTTACATGATGAGCAAAGTACTGATGACAGGTGAGTACTATTTGGCAAACAACTGAAATTATTATTTTGCTCAAGTTCTTTCCTATACTGTCTGGAGAAAACACTTATGTACTTGCTGCAGAAGACATTTCTTAGAGAAGATTCTGTAAGAAAAATGAATCAGAGACAACTCTATCATCTATATAAAAAAAGAAAATGTTATCATATAAATACAGGTATAAAACAGGATGGGATCAAGAGCAAATAACTATGGTTAGATTTAGGGAAATCAGGAAAGAAGTGTCTTAGGACACTAAACCAGATTCTTTTTTAGTGTGTAAGTTTTTATATCACAAGGAAGTGTTCACAAACACTCATTCTTTTAACCTTCCATTTTTTCTGTCTTGGGATTTACGTATATGAGTCGTAGATGACATCTGTAATTCCTTTATTAGTCTCATCTTTCTCTTTTTCTAATGTTATTCCTTCTGACTTGCTTTGACAATACAGATGTTATTAAATTCCTTATTTTGCCGTAAAGAAATATATAGGCTGCTTGTGGAGTTGAATGTATAAATAGATAGTAAAATGCAACCAACTAAGTTTGGTGGTACAGTTGTAAATAGATGTGATCACTTTTTTTAACAGCTCTTTAGCCTGTGTTTTCTCTTTGTATGTACTTCTTTCTTAGAGTTTTATTTTTAGGTCTGTTAGCCATTCATTTTGTGTGTTAAGCATTCTCATCCATCATCTCACCTGAGATTTTACTTTCCTCTGCTTACTCTGCATTACTGTGAGGATAGTCCAGAAGCAATTTAGATATCACAGCATTTAACATATCCAAAATCAGACTCAGAACCAGACATGGTGGCACATGCCTGTAATCCCATTACTCAGGAGGCTGAGGCAGGAAGATCACTGCATGTTTGAGACCAGCCTAGGCTACAAAGTGAGTTGAGGCCAGCCTGAACTGCATAGCGAGACCTTGTCTCAAAAAAAAAAGAAAGACGAAATCGGACTTAGTTAATACATTAAAAGTATTTGTTGACTCAAGCCAATTCCAATGTTTATTCTCTGTATTCAATGTACTTGAAATCTGATTAAGCAGAAATGTATTTAAATATACATACATATTACAGTGAAAGAATGTGATAAAATATATATACTTTAAGTTTATATTTAGTTTTGTCTTCATGATCCTTAGTTGTAAGAAAAGAATCCTGATCTTTGGTTTATCACTCAAATTATGTTCTCACGTACCATCCTTTTTTGTTAAAAATTTTTTTTTTTTTTTTTTTTGGTTTTTCTCCGGTACCGGGAACCGAACTCACGACCTTGCGCTTGCCAGGCAGGCACTTTTGCTGCTGAGCTAAATCCCCAGCCCCTTTTGTTAAAAATTTTATCTAACAATTTTGTCACATATTCCATCATTTCAAAAAGGTAACCAGAATATTGACAGTCACATCTGTCTCCCTATTGCCATCCTATATTATAGGCATATCGTTCCCTTTTTTGCTATAACTAGTCTAAAGATAGCCTTCAGTGGACTTTAATTCTTAACTGTTCATGGGCCTTTGTATAAATACTGTACTTAAATATTAACAAGTGCAAATGCTTTGATGACATGACAGATCCATCCTCTTTATAAGACTGATTTTAGTCTCTTTTTTTACTTTAAGAATAAAAACATTAACAGACAGACAACCTTTTACAAAATAGCAAAAGAACAGTGCAGACAATACAGAGTTACAAAGTCGTAGGAAATTAACAATGTTTGTTGTATTACATATTGATGTCTTCAGAGTGATTTCTCATGAAAACAGATAGAGACATGCAATATTGATCAATCAAGGACTCACTGACAGTTTCTTTCAGCAAATAAAGAGAAGACAGTAGAACAACTATGTTAACTATCCTGTATATACATACATACAAAATTTCTCCTTCTTTCCCTTCTCTTTGATTTTAGTCTTATAAAACAACAAAAAAATTTGGAATTAAATCTTCCAGATTTCTTTTTTGAACATAAATTGTTGCTTTTGACAATTTAGGATATATTCTGGAGCTCTGTTCATGCATTGATTTTGTTGTTATTGCTGCTTCATGACCAAGGATTCATTCTTTTTCTTTCTCTCTTTCTCTCTCTCTCTGTCTCTCTCTCTCTGTCTCTCTCTCTGTCTCTCTCTCTCTCAATCCTTTCTTTTCTTTCTTTCTTTCTTTCTTTCTTTCTTTCTTTCTTTCTTTCTTTTCTTTCTTTCTTGCACTGGGAATTTAACTCAGGACCCTGCACTTTCCAGGTGGGCACTGTGCTGCTAAGCTATATCCCTGACCAGGGATACTTTTTAAGAGAGGGATTCAGGCAGTAAGAGGAAGTTAGTTTATCTCTTTAAAACAAAAAGACTTTTATAAGGCTAATTTGTGATATCAATTTTTGTGGTTGTAATTATCTTCAAAAATTATTTTCTATCCTCCAGTGATGAACCATATTAATTTTGTATTTGGATAGTAGGTACAAACTTTTGGAATCAAAATTGGAATCCACTCTCAAGAAATCCCTTGAAATAAAAGAAGAAAAAATTGCTGCTTTAGAAGCTCGATTAGAGGAATCCACAAATTATAACCAGCAGCTGCGCCAAGAACTTAAAACAGTAAGTGATTTAATGCGATAAAAATGAGAACATCATTTACTCTTTATTTTTTCCTCTTTCATAAGCTTGACAGCATCCTAACAGATCTTTGTTACATGGTAATATAGAGATTACACGCTTTAATTTATTCAGTCCTCATTCGTACGTGCAGTGTCCCTCATGTAGTTGGGAACATATTAGAATTATAAGGGTGGGATGGGGAGGGCTTATTTCAGGCTTATTTCATTGGATAAATAATGAGATAGGTACATCACTCTGGCACTCTGCGTACTGAGAAGCCACATAAAAATTTTATTGGTAAATAAGTCACTGTGAGGATGTGAAGTAGAACAAAATCATATGTATGACATTAAGAAAACAAGTCCTCATAAGTATGTGGTCACTTCTAAGCCTGTTTTCTGCATGTGGAATTATTTAGTGAAATAACTTTCCCTAAGTGAGTAATTGAAATATAAGAGATTTGCCCATTCAACAGAGTTAGCCAGTGGTACAGGCTTGTTCTGGTTTATTGTTCCTTTTATGATCTCTGCATTGCCCCAGGAATGGTCTTAAGGTCAGCTAAACATTTAGACAAAAAGATTACTATAGGCCACATTTGAAACTATTCTACTCAGAACACTAGAAGAAATACAAGTAGATAACAGGGCTGTGCCATGTGTCCCTTTTCACATATCTGTTGAAGAGTCATCTTCTCACCATATAGAGGGGAGGTGCCCTGGCTTTGTAACCTTGTGCTTTACAGCAGTCATTACCTCTGACAACTGCAAAGGCATAGATTTTATTAAGATTACCATTGCAACAAGCCATGGTGGCGCATAACTGTAATCCCAGCACTTGGGAGGCTGAGGCATAAAGATCACTGCAAGTTTGAGGCAAGTCTTGCTATATCCAAGAAGTTTAGATGCATAAAACTTTCTGTTGTGTATTAATAGTTCTTCCAGTCCAAATATAATTTACTAATCAAGTTCATTTTTCCTAGAACTAATATTGCCTGGAAACACAGAGTATTCCAAATTTACTATAAGAGTTCTAGAAAGACAGTTAAATAAAGTAGTATTTCTTACGCAAAGAGAAAAGGTTTTGTTCACCATTTGCCCACACCACCATTACTGGTATTTGTCACATACTTTGTCATGGAACATACGTTGTTACAGAATAAGTTGTAGAACTTTGTTTTAGTGAACATAAATGAGTATTCAAAAAGTAAAGTCAGTCTAGACTTTATTAATTTGTTTCATGTCCTGAAATTTTTACGGAATGAAGCAGTATCTGTGAGTTACAAATAAAAATCAATTCCATGAAGCTACTCAGCCAGAAAGTAAGTATGGATAGGTATATGTTATGTTTCAAGTTTTAAAGTATAGATTTAAAATTTCATTACCTTTTTTAGCCAAAAGGGCAAGGCCTACCCACATGCAACCTATAAAACTTTTATGAAAAATTATAATTTTAACACTAATCAAAAGAATATCATGGCTATATTAATGTAAGACTAAGTTATAGAACAATAAATATCTGAGCTGAGGAGTTCATTTCACAATTCTGAAGGAGTCATTTTAACATAAAGTAAGATAAAATGTTCACATACTTAATAACAGCTACAAAATACATGAAAGAAATATTGATAGAACTGTAGAGAAAGATAAGCCCCATAATTAGAGTTAGATGGTTTAGGATGGTTTAAGCTCTACAAGTAGAAAGAAGGTCTTCAGCCAGGTAAAGAGTTTTTATGAACACCTATAGCAAACATCATCCTTGACGGTAAAAAGTTAATAACTTTCTGATCAGGAAGAAACCAAAAGTGTTGCTTTCACTGTGTCTATTAAATGCTGTAGTGTTGGTTTTACTCAGTGTATTGAGAAAGAAAAGGCATACAGACTTAAAAGGTAGAAATAAAGTATCTACTCTGACATGATTATATTCACAGAAAAGTACAGGGAATTGAAAGAAAATTTTCTATAGCTAAAGTGAATTTATCAGTGAAAAGTTGTAAAGTACAAGTTAAAAGAAAACCCCCATTTATAATACCATAAAATGAACTACTTAGGGATGTTATTAAGGAAATATGTGTAAGCACTCTATTACATTTTTTTGTTTGTTTTGGTCTTTTTGAGACAGGGTCTCACCATGTAGTTCAGGCTGGCCTTGAGCACACTTTGTAGCCCAGGCTGGTCTCAAACTCACAACAATCCTCCTGCCTCAGGCTCCCGAATGCTGGGATTACAGGCATGTGCTACCATGCCTGGCTCTATTATGAATTTTAAAACATTTACTAAAAATTTTTAAAAATATTTTAAAGCAGAACTCTATGCTAGCAACATCTAAAGACTACCCTATTAAATTCTGTTCATGCGTTGGAATATTCAATACTGTTAAAAGGCAGATCTCCCCAAGTAAATCTGTTGATTCAATATAACCCCAATCAAAATCCCAAGAGTTAATATATAAACATGCTAACTCTAAAATTTATATGGGAATATTGATCATATATTGGTGAGACTTTAAAACTGGAACTGTCTTACGTACTAGTGGGAATGTAAGATGGTATAACTAATTTAGAAAGCTGTGTTACAACCTGGGCATCATGGCACACTCTTGTAATCCTAGCACTCTGAAGGATCACAGGTTCAAGATTGGCCTGGGTCACTCAGTGGCGAAATCCTGTCACATAATAAAAAGGGCTAGATATGTAGCTTAGTGTGAAGGCCCTGATTTTAACCCCCAGTATAAAAACAAAAGAGAAAGGGAAACCAGTATGACAGTTTCTCATAAAGGTAGACATATATATAGCCTGTAAAAATGACTAATTCTATTTAGTCCATGAAAATGAAAACATAAATTAGGGGTATTGTGTGTTTTTTATGAAACATGGGTGGGTGGGTGTTTTTGGCTATGTAGTTCAGATTGGCCTTGACCTCACTATGTAGTTAGCCTCAAACTCTTGGCATTCTCCTGCCTCAGCCTCCCAAGTGCTGGGATTACAGACATGCACCATCATGTCCAGCCTAGTAAATGAGTTTTTATAATACCTTGATCTGTCATATTTTATTTAAAAAACTGGAAATAACCCAGTGACCATCAAATGGTAATTGAATACTAAAATTTTGGTATATCCATAAAATGGAAGACAACACAGCAATCAGACAAAAAAAACTGATGCACTGAATTAATGGATAAAACTCAGAAATATGCGCAGACATGTGCACACAAGATAACATGTTGTGTGATACTTTCCTGTGTGTGGTGTAAATTCAGTGCCTCACACTTTATAGCCAAGCTCTTTGCCACTGAGCTACATCTGCAGTCTTCTTTTATTTTTGAGACAGGGTGTAACTGAGTTGCTGAGGCTGGTTTTGAACCTGCATGTTCCTCCTGCCTCAGCCTTTTAGGTAGATGGGATTATAGTCGTGTGGCATCATGCCCGGGTGCTCTATCTTGAAGGCCATTTTCATCACAAACAACAGGACTTGAAATTATATAATGTATTGTAGGAGCATATACCACAGAAACAATATATTTAATACTTCTAAGAAAAAAAGGATTTGCTTTTTAAGAAGCTTAAATTGTGATAATAATACATGATAATCACACATACTATTTATCACATTTTAAAATAAAAGTGTCTGTCACATTTACCAAACCAACACAGAGTCAAATTAATTGTGAGAAATATAACTGATTTTTTTCTTCCTGTTGAAATATTTAAAATACAATTTTAGGTGAAAAAAAACTATGAAGGTCTCAAGCAGAGACAAGATGAGGAAAGGATGGTGCAGAGCTCCCCACCAGTGTCTGGGGAAGACAGCAAGTGGGAAAGAGAAAGCCAAGAGACGACCAGAGAGCTTCTGAAAGTTAAAGACAGACTAATTGAAGTAGAAAGAAATGTAAGTATTCTAAAATTTCTAGTAAGAACGTAGCATTTTGGAAATAAAGGGTCATTGAATATATTTTTTTACACGAATTAGATAACTTAATCTGGTATTATTTCTTTAAAACTTCTGCAACGGTTTATTTTATAATACAAAAAGACTAAAGACTTAATGACTTAATAAACTTTTCTCTCAACCTTATATAAGTCCATCAGCAAACGTTGTCAGCTTTATTTTGGAAATACAACGCAGACACATTTACTTCTTTCTGTCTCTGCTCTAGGAATACCACCCTCTCTCATCTTGGCTGTTCAGATATTATAATGCTAACTGGTCATCTTTTCCACCCCCGTCCCACTCCCCTTCTCAGCACACAGCTAGAATAATCTTTATGACCTAATCTAGGTCATGTCACTTCATTATTAAAATCTTCGTGAATTCCAGTTTCAATTAAATAAAGTTGAGGTTCTTTACTATACCCTTGTCCTGTCAGTTGCTCAGACCCTGTACCGTACCCAGTCTCTGCTGGCCCTTATTTAAAATCCAGAGATAATAGTATTACCTGTTAATAGCTGGGAAACACTTCAACAATGCCTGGTACATGATAGGAATATTAATTCTGACCTTTTTATTTCTACCTCAGGGGGTTCTTCAGTTTTTTTGCTTTCCCTGCCTGAACACATAGCTGGTTCCCCCTTAGCATAGAGAAGCCATATCAAATATCCTGCATGAGCTCTTCCCCAACCCTTCCCCTGGTAAATCAGCTGTGCCCAACCTAAAACACTTCCTCAAATACCACTGCCAGGCCAGGGATTTAGCTCAGTGGCATAGCACCTGCCTGGCAAGCATGAGGTCCCAAATTTGATTCCTGGTATCCTCCCACAAAAAAATAACCACTGCCATAATTAGTTTCTTTCTAGTGCTCTTTATTAATGAAATTACATTTTAAGTCACTTATTTACTGTTTATCTATTTTTAAGAAGATCTGCAGTGTCAGACTGTCTTTCCTTTTTTTTATGTGTGTGTCTTTCCTTTTTGACACTGCCTTCAGTGTCTAGAATAAAGCTTAGCCAGTGAGAGTCTCTTATTTTGCTTCTGTTCATAGTACATAATGAATAAATTCATCTTCGGGAATTCAAATACATATCAAATGTTAGTCTTTTTTACTTCTCCCTTTCTTTTGCATCCCTACATCCCCTTCCCATCTACAAAAGGACTGTCTCCATGTTTCCTGTCATCTTTTATTTCACTCTTCAAATTATTTATACTTTGGGTCTCTCGCATGAGAGAAACCATGCAGTATTTAACCTTCCGTGTCTAGTTTACATGCCCTAGCATCATGGTCTCAAGGTGCATCCTGTGTATTCACTTCAGTTCTCCATTTCTGATTGGGTCTTTTATTTGGAGTCTAGTTTTTATATTTCTTATATATTCTAATATTAGTGCTTCGCCTGAGGAGTTGCAATTTTTTCCCATTTTGTAGTTTGTCTCTTCACATTGCTTCTTTATTGTGCAGAAGATTTTTAATTTCATATAATCAAGTTTGTTGATTCTTGATCTTATTTTACTTCTTTGGTTAGGTTAATTATTAAGTATTTAACTTTTTGATGCTATTGTGGATGATATTGTTTTTCTAATTTATTTTTCAGTAGGTTGATTATTGATATATAGAAACTACTGATTTTTGTGTTGATTTTGTATCTTGCTACATTGCTGAATTCATTCTAGGAATCTTTTGGATGAGTGTTTAGGTCATTTGTAAAGGATCATGCCATCTAGGAATAAGGATAGATGACTTTTTCCTTTCCTGTATGTATTCCTTTTATTTTTTTCCTTTTCTGATTGCTCTGGCTACAGTTTTAAGTGTTATATTGAACAGGAGTGGTGAGAATGAACACCTTTGTCAGGAAAAGCTTTCTTTTTTTCCCCATTAACTGATGCTGGCAATGGGTTTGTCGTACATATGGCTTTTATCAGATTGAGATAAGGTCCTTGTATACTTATGTTCTTCAGGATTTTTTTTTAAAGAAATAAGAGAAGGAAAATGTATTAACAGACATCCATTTACAAAATAGCATAAGAACAATACAAACAAAACACAGTTACAGACACAGCTGTAGGAAATTAACAGTGGTTGTTGTATTATTGATGTCTTCAAAGTGGTTTCTCAGGAAAACAAATAGAGACATGCAAGATTGATCAAACAAGTAATCATTAACTTTCTTTCTGTAGAGCAATAGAAGACAGTAGTACAACTATGTTATCTATCCTGTATATACATACTTGCATAATTTCCCCTCCTTTCCCTTCTCTTTTCCAACAGCTCAGTTGCCCTTTACTTTTGAGCATTCTTCTTTCATTTCACGATGTCTATCACACCTTCTAGTTTTTATTCACTCTTTAGGTTCTTATACTAGTGAGACAGTACATTGCTTACACATGCAGGTCTAATTTATTTCCCTTAAGAGTATGGTCAGTAGTTGTGACCACTTACCTATAAAAGCCTCGAGTTTATCTTTCTTGATAGCTGAGTAATATTCCATTATATGAAAGTACCACAAGTCAAAATGGATCACAGATCTCAATATTAAAACAGAAACACTAAATGTTGGAAAAGAAAGTAGGTAAAAACCTTGAAGACATAGGGGTAGGCAGACAGTTCATGAACAAAAACCAAACTGCATGGGAAACACTTGAAAGAATCAACAACTGGGATCTCATTCTACTGAAAAGTTTCTGCACATCTAAAGAAATCACCAGCAGAGTAAAAAGAAAACCAACGAATTGGGAAAAAATTTTAGCTGACTGTCCCTCAAAGGTCTTCTATTTAGAACATATAAAGAATTAAAAAACATTAGCCCTCCCCCAATTCAAAGACCCAATCCGAAAATGGGCTGCTGAGATGAATGCATACTTCTCAGATAAAGAAATACAAATGGCAAATAAATACATGAGAAAGTATTCAACATCATTAGTCATTTGAGAAATGCAAATTAAAACAACACTGAGATTTCATCTCACCCCAGTAAGAATGGCTAGCATTAAGAAATCAACCAATAACAAATGCTGGTGAGGCTGTGGAGAAATAGGAACCCTTCTCCACTGCTGGTGAGAATGCAGACTGGTGAAACCACTGTGGAAATCAGTTTGGAGATTCCTCAGAAAACTAGTTCTAGAGGTCCCATTCAACCCAGCTATTGCCCTTCTGGGTATTTTCCCAGAAGATCTAAAAACATCATATCACAGTGATATATGTGCACCTATGTTCATAGCAGCCTAATTCATAATTGCTAAACTGTGGAAGCAACCCAAATGTCCATCCACTGAGGATTGGATTAAAAGATTGTGGTACTCTTCAGGATTTTTATCATGAATGGATGTTGAATTTTGTAAAAGGCTTTTTTGCATCCACTAAGATGAACATTTTATCTGTGCTTTTATTGATTTACAAATGTTGAGCTATCTTTCCATGTCTGGGATAAACCCAATTTGGTCATGTGTATGATCTTTTTTTAATGATTTGTAGGCTTCTATTTGCTAGTACCTTGTTGTGGGTTATTCATTAAGATTGGCCTGTAGATTTGGTTTTTTGGTAAAGTCCTTGTCCAGTGTTGGTATGAAGGTATTGCTAGTTTCCTGGAATAAGTTTGGCAGTACCCTTTCTCTGTGGAGTTCACTGAAGAGTTTGAGAAATGTTGGTGTTAAAGCTTCCCTAAAGTTCTGGTAGAATTCTGCAATGATTCATTCCATTGGTCCTGGATTTTCTTTGTTGGCAGATTTTTCATTATTGCTTCAAGTTTATTGCCTGCTTTTGTTCTGTTCAGAGTTTTTATATCTTCCTGGTTCGGCTTTAGTAATTCACATGTGTCTAGGAATTTCTCCATTCTTATAGGTTTTGCAGCTTATTGGAATATAAGTTTTCAAAGTAGTCTCTTACAATCTTCTTGGATTTTGGTGCTTTCAGTTACGGTTTTACGTTTTTAATTTCAAATTGCATTGTTTTCTAAGGTTTGGATTACAGGTCTTGGAAAGGCTGTGATCTGCTGCTGGTCTTCACCAATTTTCAGTAATTGATAATCAACTCTTAATGCTTATTAGCAGAATGTGTTCAATTAACACTTGATAGTAAACAATAACCAAAAAAATTCAGCAGTAAATATTTTACCCATAAAAGATGAACAAGTTTCATAAGAAATTTACAAGCTGATAAGTAAAATATTTGTGGTTATTCCTGGTTTTGAATGTAACATAAAAGTAATATATTTAATTATAAACTTGAACCTATGAAAACAAAAACTGATCCTCACATCACTGATTGCTACTTTCTCATTCACAATTAATCACTTTAGTTTATCTTCTCACATTTATGGTTTATCCATCTATGGATGTAATTTCTTTTGTAAATTAATATCTGTATGATAATGCTATAGAAAATTACTGTTTACATTTTTCATTTGCATTATCTTCTAGATCTCTCAATTTTAGTGATGTAGTAGTAGCTCATTTTGTCATAATAACCACATATTTTTCTATAGTATAGATGTTACCATAATTTATTTAAATAAATTCCACATGTATGAACATTTACTTTTTTTCAGACTTTCCTGCAGCAAATGTCCATGTATAAACAAACATGTTCTTCAAATGCTAAATTACTGACAGTGGAATGGCTAGATCAACAGATATACACACCTTTATGTGTGTATTTAATTTTATTTATTTATTTATTTATTTATTTATTTGGGTTTTTTTTCTGGTACCAGGAATCAAACTCACGACCTTACACTTGCCAGGCAGGCGCTGTGCCACTGAGCTAAATCCCCAGCCCCAAGTATTTAATTTTAATTGATAGTTTTGTACTAGTTTTTAAAAATTATAATAGTTCTCTTCCTAGTATTTGAGTACCTATCTTCCTAGATTAACATTGGGGGCTGGGTATGGTGGGGCACACCTATAATCCCACCACTTGGGAGGCTGAGGCAGGAGGATCGTTACGAGTTCGAGGCCAGCCTGCA